ACTTGGATTCTTTTTCTATTATACATTGGTTTTTAAGTCAAGAAATTGGTGCGCACTTTAATCAGGTTGGTGGTGATATATATTAACTCAAACTAAGCTTTTCTTAAACACAGGTATTAATTGAATATTTTTCCAAGTGAAAATGACCAATTTTTTTATATAAAAAATATTTTCGTGTCTTCCAAGTATTGGAAAAAGCCATGGTCAAGAAGGTAACACAATATTTTTAAGGTCACACAATAAGAGTATAATTATATTTATTTTGATTATTATAAATAGTTAATAATTATAATTATTTATAATTTAATAATTTAAAATTAATTTATAAATTGATATTTTTAATAACTTAATTACTTTTAAACTAATAAAATTAGACAAATCTAATATAATTATAAAATTTTGTCTGGCATAATTATTGCCATTGGAAAATAGCAGCTTCTTTGACCATTGTGTTTCTCTGGTCTCCTCTTGATTTCTTTGGCTCCACGAAATTTCAGCTTTATCAGTAGCTCGTGAAAGCTTAGAGGCAAGCTACTTCTGCAATCCTGTGCATCAACTTTCTCACTTTATTTCCAGTGCAACAACTTTCTCACTTTATATTTGTTTTTTTCCTTCTTCCCTGCTTCTTTTTAGCAACTGATTTTGGGTAGGACTAATTCTATTCTATTACCATCAATAAATTAATGCATACTATTTTTTCAGTTTTGTTCTGAGCATGTCATGTTAGAAAGATTTATCTTTACATCTTTTTGTAGGGATGAGACAAGGGAGATTGGTGAGAATCAAGCAATAGCTGGGGTGGTATTGTGGTCTTTGAGTTTGAGCTGAAGTCTTGTGACCATGGCTTCTTCTTGGATCACATGCATCTACTTCATGTTCAAGCTCTGTGATTTCCGAGGAGACATCTCTTCCATCCATGTTTCAATGGATGAGATTCATTTTCCTGTCTCCGTGTCCTCAAAGAGCTCTGTTATCCTTTGTTGATTTGTTGTTTCTGCTCTCCCTCTTGGTCTTTGCCCTGCAAAAGCTCTATTCGAGACTTGGAAGCAATGCTCATCCAGGTTCTGACGTTAACAAGCCACTGATCAGAGGCAACAGGGCCTCTTCCAGAACTACAATATGGTTTAAACTCTCTTTGGCTGTAACTGTTATTTTGGCGTTCTGTTATATTATCGTCTGCATTCTGGGATTCAGTAGTGGTGCCCTGTCGCCATGGAATCAGGTGGATGGACTATTCTGGTTGGTTCAAGCCATAACTCATGCAGTGATTGCTATCTTAATCATCTATGAGAAGAGATTCGAAGCTGTCATTCATCCACTCTCTCTTCGAATTTATTGGGTGGTGAACTTCATCATCATTTCATTGTTTACAGCATCTGGGATAATTCGTTTGGTGTCAGTTGATGCAACTCAGGTTGAAAATTTGAGGTTGGATGACATAGTTTCAGTGGTTTCTTTTCCATTATCAACTCTTCTTCTTTTTGTTGCTATTAAAGGATCAACTGGGATAACAGTGAGCAGAGAATCTGAACCAGAAATGGTAGAAGAAACTAATTTGCTTGAACCCCTTTTGAGCAAAGCAAACGTGAGTGGCTTTGCTTCTGCTTCTGTAATATCTAAGGCGTTTTGGATTTGGATGAATCCTCTTCTAAGTAAAGGATACAAATCCCCTCTTTCCAAGGAGGAAGTCCCATCTCTTTCGCCAGAGCACAGGGCTGAGAAGATGTCAAAGCTGTTTGAATCAAATTGGCCAAAGCCTCATGAAAAATCTAAGCACCCTGTTAGAACCACATTGCTTCGTTGCTTTTGGAAGGAAGTAGCCTTTACTGCTTTCCTTGCTATTATACGGCTCTGTGTCATGTATGTAGGTCCTGTTCTCATCCAAAGTTTTGTGGACTACACTGCTGGCAAGAGAAGCTCTTCCTATGAAGGATATTACCTTATACTGATTCTTCTAGTTGCAAAGTCTACTGAAGTTTTATGCACTCACCAATTTAACTTCAACTCTCAGAAACTTGGGATGCTCATTCGTGCTACCCTTATCACTAATTTGTACAAGAAGGGATTGAGGTTAACTTGCTCTGCTCGCCAAGATCATGGGGTTGGACAGATAGTGAATTACATGGCTGTGGATGCCCAGCAGCTATCTGATATGATGTTACAGCTACATGCTATATGGTTGACACCTTTGCAAGTAGCTGTTGCCTTGGTGCTACTGTATAGGTACCTTGGTGCTACAATAATCACATCAGTGTTTGGACTTCTTGGTGTTCTTATCTTTGTTATAATGGGCACCAGGAGGAACAACCGTTTCAATTTCAATGTGATGAAGAATCGTGACTCAAGAATGAAGGCAACAAATGAGATGCTTAATTATATGCGAGTGATAAAGTTCCAGGCATGGGAGGAACATTTCAGTAAGAGAATCTTATCTTTCCGTGAAACAGAGTTTTCATGGCTGTCCAAATTCCTGTACTCAGTCTCTGGGAATATAATAGTGATGTGGTCCACACCATTGCTCATATCAACCCTCACATTTGGTACTGCAATTCTTCTAGGAGTGCCTCTAGATGCGGGGACAGTGTTCACAGCCACCACAATCTTTAAGATCTTGCAGGAGCCCATCAGAGCTTTCCCACAGTCCTTGATCTCACTTTCACAAGCAATAATATCGTTGGAAAGATTGGATAAATATATGATGAGCCGGGAATTGATGGATGAATCAGTGGAGAGACAAGAAAGCTGTGATGGTAGCATTGCTGTGGAGGTTAAAGATGGGAAGTTTAGGTGGGATGATGAAAATGGTGAGGAGGTGTTGAAAAATATAAATTTGGAGGTCAAGAAAGGGAAGCTTACTGCTATTGTTGGGACTGTTGGATCTGGGAAGTCGTCTCTCCTGGCTTCAATACTTGGTGAGATGCACAAGATATCTGGCAAGGTATGAAATCTGAGAACTGATAACTTCTTTCTTTTGTTGATTTAGGTGTTGTCCTCAAGTTTTCTAAGATTAAAATGTTTGCATTCATGGTAATAGGCCCATGTGTGGTTAGTTCTTTGATGCAGTTTAGTAAATTCATAGATTTAGGTACATAATCTCTGCTATTTTCAAATTACTTATGACTGTTTAGGGTCTTGCAATACCATGTTATTTTCTCATGCATGTATTTCATGTTCGGTCATTAAGGTTAATGTTTTGATTCTCATAAAGTTCAATAATGAATCGTCATGACTTTTAGGAAACCAGATCATTATGTGCTTAAATTTTGGTATTTCTGTCTGTTTTGCATTTGTGACTTGCATTTTTTGGTGGCCCTATATAGAATTTTAATTCACAAAATTTCTAATCCTTTCTTCTTTAAGGGACCCTATGTTAGATTTTCTTGGGCCTTCAAGTTTATTTTGCTGCTGCTAAAATAGGCTTGAATGTTTTCTGTGATAGGTCACAGTTTGTGGTACAACTGCCTACGTAGCTCAAACGTCATGGATTCAAAATGGGACAATTCAAGAGAATATCCTATTTGGTTTGCCAATGAATGGGGAGAAATACAAAGAGGTTATCAGGGTTTGTTGTTTGGAGAAAGATTTGGAAATGATGGAGTATGGGGATCAGACTGAAATTGGAGAACGGGGCATCAACCTCAGTGGTGGCCAAAAGCAGCGGATACAACTTGCAAGGGCTGTTTATCAGGATTGTGACATCTACTTTCTTGATGATGTCTTTAGTGCTGTTGATGCTCATACTGGATCAGATATATTTAAGGTGATATAGCTACTTGGTTCTTTGCAAAATTTTATTTTCCATGAAAATCATTGATCTATCATTTTTGGGTCCTTGTTTAAGTTGTACTAACAAGTTGTGTAGATATAGAGTCAAAATATCCTAGAATAGTAATAAGCTAAAATAGTGGAGAATAGTGGAGAAAACATTAGAGATCATTGGTCTTAGCGTTCAGATTCAATTAATATGTTAAGGTAACCAGAAAAATGAATTTGAAGACAATTATCTTGCATTCAACAGCTGTTTACTGCCACTTCAAAAGCTGTTTATTGTGTTCACCAGTTTTAGTGATAGACATATCCTACAACTTCTTGTGCTTGTTAGTATTTCATCCTAATGCTTAACACAAAAAAAAAAAACCCTGTTAGTTGCTGAAATGTGTGGCTAAGTTCATTGTAATT